CAGCTGTTCCATGAAGCTACTGTTTTTACAAGGTTGATGCATCTTTTTGTGACTGGTAATAGTCTTACTTGTTTTTGAAAGCCACAAAATCTTCACATATTAAATAGGAAAAAAACCCCAAAACTGCCTATTCAGGCATTTCCTCTGAAACATAATAGCTGCAAGATACAATCTTAACAACCTACAGCTGGATAAGCAGAATAGTTGGAGAAATAAGTGTGGTGGAAGTGGAAAGCAGGAAATGCTGTTAACAGGAGAACAATTTAAAATATCTGGCCTTTTTCTTCACTCATTCTCTTTTTCTGTTTTTATTCCAGTGTACATATTCAATTTATGAACAAAGGGAGAAAGCTCAAAGAGTTAGGGAGTTTTTGCTTATTATTTATAGCAAGTATTGGGTTTTTCCATTTGGATTTTTATGCGTCTTCTGGAACATTTCTGTCAGTAAAGGGTACTTGCTCATGATCCAGTCTCTGTAGCCTTTAAGAGTGCTGCTGTACAGATCTGATGTTGGAGTCACCACCACAGTTGACTTAGTAACCTCTGTAGTTCCAAAATAAATGTAATTAGCTGTCATTCACCATCTTGTTCCTTTTTCTTTCATCTTCTCTTAAGGAGAAGCAGGACATGCAGTGGGGTTTATGATAAGTTACCTGTACTTCCTTTTTTTTTAAGGCTTTCTTGCTCTTTTTAGACTGATTTCCTTTGGAAACAGAATTTATGCAAACAGATGATGCATCACCAAAAGATCAGTTTTAGCCAAATTGGACAGCAGGATAGCATGTTTTGTTGTGCTCTGCAAAAGTAAGCATGAAGAGAGGGGAAACGATAACATTGCTGAGTTTCCCATTATAGACCGTGACCCCACTGACCAGTTTCTCCATTCAAGTGCAATAGCCTACAGAACACTCCAGGGTACCGTGCAGGAGAGCAGTAAGAAAAAACGCTAGGGAGTTTTATTTAAAAGTTAGTAAGTCAGCCAGCCAAGAGACCTAGGTCTCTGTGAGTTAGAGATGATAAAAGTTTTTAAGCTAACCATAGGCTGCTTTGTACTAAACATAAAATCCACCAGTATGCCTGAACTACATGTTGCTTCGACCGTGTATGGGAAGGCACTGTCAACAAAATGAAACTGCTCTGTGACTGTAACTTCTTTGGGTTTTAATCAGTAAATATGCATGTGTAAGATGTCACAAGAAATAGAGACAACTTTAAGCTTTATACACACAGGAAGATCTAGATCCTGATGTTTGTGATTCCATTTGTACAGGCAAGTGGTAAGCTGAATCTCAGGATGCGTCATGTTCATTGCCACTCTCTATGTGGCTAACAGCAGGATATGAAGGTGTATTTACTGGAAGTTTTTTTTTTAAAAAAAAAAGACAACTGGTACATGGCTTTTGCAAAACTTGGAGCTTAATCTTATGAGGTTCTGAGCTTGAGAGATGTCTGGTGTCCTGAGTTCCCACATGAAGCCTACAGCACTTTGAGTCCCACTGTCTTGCACTTCTGGATTCTTTACTTCTTTAGGAGATGCTCATAAGCAGTCTGAGATAAAACTTCATTTCCTGAAGGTCAGCTGGAGAGAAATGATTGCTGGCTGTGCTTTGATGGTGGCATTGTGTATCACCAGGCAGAGAGCATGCAGACACCATAATTTAAAGGGAGGGTTTTATTATATGTGAAGGAGGGTGCTGCCACTCTCCCTGCTATTTTTCCCTGCTCCTGTCCGTAAATTTACAATGAAGCACGTTGGAGAAGCATTATGCAATTTGCTGCCTGGCAGGACAGCCAGGCAATCTCTGGTGAGCCTGAAGATGAGGCTGATCTCCAGTTCGGAGATCCAGGAAGGATTTTCTGCATAGGTGAAATGATGTGTAGAGATTTTTATTGCTTTCCAGATGGTAGATGGAGGCTTGCAGGGTTGAATTTTGCTAGTTCTATTGTAGCAAGCTACAGTTCAAATGTCCAACCTCATCTCCTGCTGTTTGCCACCTCCCATGTAGTGGCTGTACTGCTGCAGGTGGTGGGGAGCACTGGGGGGCAGCGTTTCTCTCACCGCCACCTTGAGATATGCTCAGTGTCTTGTCCTCCGGTGGTCTTTTTTATCTATATGTGGGGGTGAAATGAGTTTTGTATCCTGCAAAGTGGAGAGATAGAAAAAGAGGAGCACAGGTCACTTACAAAATGGATCAACTTTGATCTGTTACAGTACTATATTTTGTTTGAAAGGTTTTAATTAATCTCTGTTTCTAAAGCTTTTTTTGGCCTGTTTTCTATATATGAGTACATAAAATTCACTCTGGCTCTCCCACTTACTGTCTTAAATGTTCTAAGTAATAAAAGTGTTTCTTCAGTTCTTTGATTTTTACCTTTATGCCTGATCACTCTGTAGAGTTTCTCCAGCAAGAGCCACATTCTGTGGCTCTGCAAATGGTTTAGGACTTCCTAGTCTTTGCTGATAAAAAGATGAAGCGTTGTTGTGGTTTAAACCCAGATGGTGGCCAAACACCACATAGCCGCTTGCTCACCTTCTCCCATCCCAGGGGATGGAGGAGAGAATCGGAGGGGTAAAGGTAAGGAGACTTGTGGGCTGAGATAAGAACAATTTAATAATTGAAATAAAATAAAATTGAAATAATAATAGAATGTACAAATGAGTGATATGCAGTGCAACTGTTCACCACCCACTGACCAGGCCCAGCCCATTCCTGGCTAGTGGTCCTGGAGGAGAGAAAATCCTGACACCACGGTCCCAGAAGAGAGAGATGGCTTCCTGACCAGCCCTCATCTATATACTGAGCATGACATGTTATGATATGGAATATCCCATTGGCCAGCTTGGATCGGTTGCTCCGGTTATGCTCCTGTCTTGGGTCAGGGCCGCCACCACATGGTTGCCGCCTCGACTCCCCCAACCGCCTTTCCCCCTCCTGGTAAGATGGGGAAGAGGAAAAAAAAAAAGAAAAACAGTGTAGCCTCGTGAGTTGAGGTAAGGACAGATTTTAATAATACAACACGAGAAAAGGAGAATATAATAATAAGACAGGATATAGGATACAATGAAAACAGTGATACGATGGAACTATCTCACCGCCAAGATGCTTCACAAAGACCCCCACCCCTCTCCCAGCTAGCTTCCCCTTATATCTCAGCATGGTATCCAATATCCCTCTGGCTATGCCCACCTCCCAGCTTCTGTGAAAAAAAAATTAACCCTATCCCAGCTGAATCCAGGACAGCTCCCTCCCAGCTTCTTGTGCACCTGCACACTAGCAAAACATGTCAAGTTGTAAAGTCCTTGGCTTATTAGCAACAACTGAAAACATCAGTATATTCTCAGCATTCTTCTCGTACCAAACCCATACTGAATCCAAAACACAGGGCTGTTCTAGCTACTAAGATGAAAATTAGCTCTACCCCAACCAAAACCAGGACAAGGAAACAACTTGATTGATCGTTTTAAACCAGCTGAAGTATGGGCTTACTCAAAAAAGGTGACTGGTTTTCTGTTCGATCAGTTTTCTAGTCCTACTCACAGCATTGCACAAGCACTAGAGCAGGCAGAGGGAGGCAGGCAGGAACATGCGTCTGGAAGCTGAGGGTGGGTGGTTTTACCCTGCTTGGGAGCAGGACTCACTTAGATCAGTGCAGAGTGATCATGAAACTTCACCTTGCACTGCAGTGCAGCAGAATATTTGCATACTTTTATTCAGCATCTACAAATCTCTGTGCACTGGACTATTTTCACTACAGTTTTCACTTACTGACCATCAGAATTGGTCATGGTGGGAGAACTGTTTTGCAGATTGTCAGAAACTCCCAGCAGAGTCAAGTCTAGTGCTAGATTTAAAGGGGGTGTAAATAGTTTTCTGAAGTAAATGGTGGGAAAGTGATGGTGCTTGTCATGAGCTT